AATTCTTAAACAACATTAGGGAATCTGGTGTTCCAAACCATGAACTAAAGTTAAAGGTAGGGACCTCGGTTATGTTGTTGAGAAATATCGATGAATCTATGGGTTTGTGCAATGAAACTAGAGTCATTGTCACAAGACTAGGGACACAATTGATTCAGGGGAAAGTGATGGGTGGTAAGAATGCTGGCCATGAGGTTGTGATTATACATGAGTTCCCTTGAAATTCCAAAGGAAGTATTTCTCGATTGTGATGTCCTATGCAATGACAATTAACAAAAGTCAAGACCAGTCATTGAAGCATGTGGGATTACTTCTCAAAAAGCTAGTCTTTGGTCACATACAACTGTATGTTGCTATCTCTCGAGTAACCAATTATCATGGGTTAAAGGTGTTAATTTGCAAGGACGATGTAGCCAGTTTAAATGCCACAACAAACATTTTTTAAAAAGAAGTTTTTCAGAACCTTTAATCTCTTCAACTTTTTACTTTTCTAACAATATTCCTCAAGTTTATTTTGTAATCCTTAAAATATTTAGATAAGAATCAAGTACTTTCATTAATATGTGTCATTTTTTAACCTATAATGAAATCACTACAACAATTACACTTATCTAAATTACTAGTCGTGCAAGCATGGGTACGGATCTAGTATGGATAAACACAATATTAGGTGTTGTAAAACATGCAATGTATAATGTCAAAAACATATTGAAATGCCAAGAAACAATTTGATTTACCAATTAACATACAATGCCACTTTCACTTCCCACATCAAGTTAAAAAAACAAAAGATTTTGATAATAATACAATGCCAAGAAACAATTTGAGTCTGAATGATTTGATATGAACAAATCTGATACAATTTGAATGGATCTAATCCATTTGATTGTAGTGTAATTTAAATTTGTTGATTTGATATGATTAAATTATCTACTTAGCATCAAAAGAACAAAACAAGATTGTATCCTCATCTTAATCATGCATTAGTATGAAATTGTCCACTCTAGCCAAGCCCTCACGAATTTATTTTTGAGATCCTTCCAAAAGACCTCTTAGTAGGGTTGGGTTGAACCTATTTTTATAGGTTACCATTCTGCTCCTCATTTGATGCGGGAGAAGTTTGTTGCACAACAAACCTCCCCTCAAACTACTAACCATACAACCTGTGACCTCCCGTTCAGCAACTATCCATTTGATTGCACACCATCTTGCACCGTAGCTACACCCTTGTGGGCTACACCCCTACGGGACATGTCGACCTACATCTTCATATCGGGGAAACTTTCGACACAAGGTATATCGCAGATCACCAATCTGCTTAAACCACACCATTTGATATGCCTAGACATATTGTACCGCCATTATCACCAAACGGGATACACCGTCCGACCACAACTTTTCAAGAAGACTTTCGGCACAATGCATTGCGTGCCCGCAACACTTCTGCTCACACAAACCTGAGCTCTGATAACACATGTTGAGACCACGTGCACCCTCACCATTACCTCGCATTAGTATGATATTATCCGCAATAGGCCAAGTTCTTACAAATTTCTTTTTGGACTCCTCCAAAAGGTCTCATACTAATGGGTATGAGGCCACCCTACAAACCTCCCCTCAAACTACTGGCCACACAACTCGTGACCACCGGTTCAATAATTATCTATTTGATCTATACACCATCTTGCACCGTAGATACACCTCTGTGGGACACACCGACGAACCTTTTCATATCAAGAAGACTTTCGATCTTAGGTATTCCGTAGATGACCAATCTGCTTAGATCACACCATTAGATCTGTCAAAACATATTGTACCACCATTACCACCAAACTAGACACGTTCCCCGAATTGTCAAGAAGATTTTCGACATAAGGCACTACGTGCCTGCAAACCTTTGGTCATGTTGTCACACAAGGCACACCGAGAACTCCACACAACACAGTCTTCAATTCTTGCCCACATGAACATGGGCTCCAATAACACACGTTGAACCATGCATACCTTCACTATTACCCCACACTAGTATGATATTGACCGCTCTAGGCAAAGTTCTTACGAATTTGTTTTTTGACTCCTCCCAAAAGACATCATACTAATAGATTGGGTTGAACATATTTATTTTGATTATCCTTTTCCTCTTCATTCTGGGTGAGAGGATCGGAGTTTGTCGGAATCGCCGCCCAACATATTGTGTATAATTTTTCTAATTCAAGTTGGGGGTGCTTTAATTCTTAACTAAAGTTTGAAAGCGGTCGAAGTCATTTTTTTGAATTTAAGGTTAATTTAGGTCTTATGTTGGAATAAAACTGTATTAACTCTATTTTGGAGATAAGGAGTTACCAGATCGGATAAAAAACAACTCTAAATATATCAAGTAATTTGAATCAAATTAGATAAAATATGCCCTTATTGAACCTCATAAATAGATACATGTATCAGGAACAGACCCCATTATTTAATACCAATCTGTGAATAAAATCTAATTTATGTTTTAGAGAGGTGATCGTCTAGTCGATTTTGAGTTTTGTTGGATATGGGGTGGGGTTAGGGGTGGACACGGTACGGTTCTGGTTCGGTGCGGTTTTGGAATCGCCGGTTGCGGTACCGTCACCCCTTAGTACCATTACCGGTGCTAGTTGTCACGGTACCGACGCCAGTTTCAAAACTGGCGGTTCCAGCACCGGTTCCGGGCCGGTTTTGGCGGTTTCCATTTTTTTAGTTGTAACTTGTAAATCTATAAGTGTAAAATAAATTAATTGTTCTTATGAATTACAATTTCTAAGAATGTAGTTGTTATTTAAATAATGAAAAATGAATAGTACAAAAACAACTACATTTAATATCTTGACGGTTCAAAAAATGACGAGGTAAATAATTGAAACCCTCGAATGAGCTTATAAATTGTTAGCCTTGGTTTGCTAAGCCTCATGTTTTGATGTTAACAAACAATATAAGAGCTTAACGTTTGTTTAAGTGTTTCAGGAAAACAAGAATCCATTAAGATTCTGTACTCAAGAATGAAGTCGAAACACTAAAACTAGCGTAGAATATAGGTAGAAACCAATGTAAGGATATGATTTTATATACCTATATTCACAAGCTCAAAAGCACTCACAAAATATGTTTAAAACCATCACATAAACATTTTCAAATATCTAAAAGGTTTTAAACTCAAACACGAAGGATTAAGGGAATTTTGGAAAAATCAGAACAGAGTCACGGTACCCCTAGCGGTATGCCACACGGTAGGGTATACCGCCTACACGGTACCCACATACCGTGTAACGGTACCTAGGTACCGTCGGTAGGCTTGGGAAGGTTGGCCAGACCGTTTGAACCCAGATACCGCCAGAGCCGAACCAATTCTATGGCTTACACAGTACCCAATAACGGTAGGCTGTACCGTTGTCACGGTACCTAGGTACCGGACGGTACGGACCCCTACCGTGAAGGGTACCGGATCCGTTGTAATTACTGTAGCAAATTGCCAATTTGAATTCAAATCACCCCTAATCACCTCCAAACGGCTAATTAACCTCTTCCACTATAAATACAAGCCTAATCCTTCATATTTCTTGAAGAAACAAAGCTCTAAACATCCTCTCTTTTTATTCTAAGTGTGTTCATCCTTTTATTAAATATTTTCAATATTTTGGCTATTTCAAGAGCCTTAAATTCCTGAATTTTATACACACACTTTGAGCTTGTGTTTCTAGTTATATACTCTCATATTCATAAGTTTATATTGTATTTTTGAGAGAGTATAATTTCCTTCTACACCGGCTAAGTTTTGTTCTTCATTTTTATATTCTAGCCGTTGTGTAGAATCCTCTTTTGTGTTCTTCAAACACACCTTCTTACGGTCGAGAATAGCCGTTAAATTCTCACGTTGTAACGGTCAAGGATAGCCGTATAAATCCTTGGGTAAAGGTTCAAGGATAGCCTTTAAAATCCTTGGGGGAACGGTAGAAGATAGCCGTTAAATCTTCATTGTAAACGGTTCGAGATAGCCGTTGTGAAATCTCGGAGTGAATCCTATTGGCAAGGGTTGTTTGCCAAAACTAGTGCGGTGCTTTGACGGAGTTCAAGAGACCGAGACTTAGTGGATTCGGAAATCCTTGAGGAGGAGCCTCGAGGTACTGGAGTAGGGAGTTCCCGAACCAGTATAAAATCGGTGTGCATTTTATTTACGCTTTTATTTCTGCGATTTATATATTGCTTTCGCATTTGCCAACACCGTTTTTATCAAACTCCGAAAAGATTTTCAAACGCCTTATTCACCCCCCTCTAAGGCGTGGGCACAACGACTAAACCGACTAACAATTGGTATCAGAGCGGTTTCGTAGTTGAAAGTGCTTAATCGCATCTACGACAAAGATCCACTTGTTGTGTCCCTTTTAAATTTGAATTTTAAGATCTCAAAACCTTATCTTCCCTAATTTTTTAAAAATTCAAATTTATTGAAAAATGGCTCAAATGGATTCCCAAAGCATTCACCGCCCTCCGTTTTTCAATGGCCAAAACTATTCCTATTGGAAAATGCGGATGGAATACTTCATTCAATCTATTGATTTTTATTTATGGTTAAATGTACTTCACGGGCCGTTTGTGCCGAGTAATGGTGATTTTGCAGGATTATCGTCGGAAGATAAGAGAAAGTTATCAATGAACGCAAAGGCAATCAACATCCTCCATTGCTCTCTCGGCCCCGATGAATTTGCATGAGTATGCTCATGCAAAACGGCCAAGGAGGTATGGGACTTGCTACAAGCTACTCATGAAGGCGACGTCTCAACTAAGCAAACGATGATTGCCCTTGGGAATTCCGAATACGAATCTTTCAAGAAAGGGCCATGCGAGACGATCCAGGACATGAACAAAAGGTTCAATGAGATCGTCAATAAGTTAAGTAAGTTGGGTAAGAGGTATACTACTTCCGAGCTTAATACGAAAATTCTATTTTCTTTACCAAAAGAATGGCATAGTAGTATCGTAGACTTATTACCCAAATGTGATACGGCCAAAACCGCCCACATTTGGTCTTCCTTGTATTCTCACGAACTTTTGTTGAGAAAGATAAAAGAGGAAGAAATGCGTGAAAATCCCAAACTTAGAAACGCCTTCAAAGCTTCCAAAGAATCATCAAGTGAAGAGTCAAGTGAATCAAGTGATGATTCAAGTGACTCAAGCTCTACGGAAGAGTCAAATGATGAAGAAGATGAAGAGAAGACAATGAGAATGAAGTATACGGATTTCCTCAAATGGAAGAAGTATGTGAAGAGGAAAGAAGTATACTCAAAGCCGAAAAAAGAACGGCATAAGCCAAGGTAAGTTTCTCTTGCTCATTGGGATAAGATATTTTGTTTGGTTTTAATTATTTTCAAAAATAAAACCTTATCCCGTACATGTTTTTATTTGTTTTAGCCTTGGTTTGCATGATTAAAATTTCTTAAAATCCATGCATTATTTAAAATAATCCCCACAAATCCCTGAAAAATAAAGTTTTAAAACTTGCATCATTTTAGGGGGAGTTTTGTTGTAAATGCACCTTATGCCCAAACTATCATTTTTAATTCATTTTGATAGGGGGAGGGTTTCAAGAAGTTATACATGGTTAAAATTTTCAAAATGCCCTTTTTTATTTTGACAAAAGGGGGAGAAGATGTATACTTCAAAGTGGTGCATATGCAACTTGACTTGAGTGCATTCTTGTGTAACTATTTGCATCAAAGTCAAACTTTTAATAAACACAAGAAAAGTTCAAAGTAAGTATTTTAAATATGCTTATTCTTAAGGGGAGCTTGCTTGCTTCATTTTTATACTCCTGCCTAACTCACTTTAAAGTATATTGTTTGTCAACATCAAAAAGGGGGAGATTGTTAGCCTTGGTTTGCTAAGCCTCATGTTTTGAATCAAAATCAAACTTTTAATAAACACAAGAAAAGTTCAAAGTGAGTATTTTAAATATGCTTATTCTTAGGGGGAGCTTGCTTGCTTCATTTTTATACTCCCGCCTAACTCACTTTGAAGTATATTGTTTGTCAACATCAAAAAGGGGGAGATTGTTAGCCATGGTTTGCTAAGCCTCATGTTTTGATGTTAACAAACAATATAAGAGCTTAACGTTTGTTTAAGTGTTTCAGGAAAACAAGAATCCATTAAGATTCGGTACTCAAGAATGAAGTCGAAACACTAAAACTAGCGTAGAATATAGGTAGAAACCAATGTAAGGATATGACTTTATATACCTATATTCACAAGCTCAAAAGCACTCACAAAATATGTTTAAAACCATCACAAAAACATTTTCAAATATCTAAAAGGTTTTAAACTCAAACACGAAGGATTAAGGGAATTTTGGAAAAATCAGAACAGAGTCACGGTACCCCTAGCGGTACGCCACACGGTAGGGTATACCGCCTACACGGTACCCCCATACCGTGTAACGGTACCAAGTACCGTCGGTAGGCTTGGAAAGGTTGGCCAGACCGTTTGAACCCAGATACCGCCAGAGCCGAACCAATTCTATGGCTTACACGGTACCCCATAACGGTAGGCTGTACTGTTGTCACGGTACCTAGGTACCGGACGGTACGGACCCCTACCGTGAAGGGTACCGGATCCGTTGTAATCACTGTAGAAAATTGCCAATTTGAATTCAAATCACCCCTAATCACCTCCAAACGGCTAATTAACCTCTTCCACTATAAATACAAGCCTAATCCTTCATATTTCTTGAAGAAACAAAGCTCTAAACATCCTCTCTTTAGTCTTTGATTTGTATTAGACTTGTATATGGTAACTTCCTTTTATTTAGCATTCCTAGTCCTATTGGGAATACCTTGCTGTATATATATACTCCTCATTGTATTGTACAGGATCAAGAAGGAATACAATAGATTTTCAGCCCTAAAACACTTCTGCGTAACATGGTATCAGAGCAAACCTAAAACCTACAGCCGCACGTTACCTTTCCGACATCAAAACACCGACCTTGTTTTCTTTCCTTTGCACGGTGAACGCTCTTCCTCCGGCGAACAACAAGCATGGCAGGCGAGGCAACCCCAAAGGATCTGAAGGCATCACCGAAGAATCATGTGGACGAGAACGACGACGACATATTGCAAAGACATCGTCGCATATCGCCCTACGATCTCTCACCCAGCGACAATCCGGGTATGCTTTTAACCAGGTTGTTCTCAAGGGACCAAACTATGACGAATGGTCCAAATCCTGGCGCCTTGCCTTACGGGCTCGCAAGAAATTTGGATTTGCTGATCGATCAATAGCGCAGCCGGATCCAGACTCAGACGACTTGGATGATTGGTGGACCAATCATTCGCTTATAGTATCATGGATACGCAACACGATTGAACCATCGTTGCGATCCACAATCTCTACGGGCGAGTCTGCATCCGATCTGTGGGACGAACTGAAGGCGTGTTTTTCGGTTGTGAACGGACCTCGCGTCCAACAACTGAAGCGTGAAATATCTGAATGCAAACAAAAGGGACTTAGCATGATGGCATATTATGGCAAGTTAAAGAAATTATGGGACGACTTAGCCGACATCGACAAGTTCCCAGATTGTGTTTGCACAGATTGTGCGGGCAAACTGGCGGCAGCCTTAGCAAAGAAGAGAGAGGAAGAAAGGGTTCATCAGTTCCTTATGGGAGTCGATGACACCATGTACGGCTCCATAAGGTCGCAACTTTTGTCTCAAGAACCACTGCCCACCGTCGCCGAAGCCTACAATATCTTGATTCAAGAAGAGACCGCACGTGCTACGATCCGAGGCATTGGCGACACCGAAGTTCCAGCGGCTGCCTTTGCTGTGAAAACGAGCAGCGAAGCTGATCAAATCTGCGGTCATTGTAAGAAGAAAGGACACCAAGTAGACTCATGCTTCAAACTGCATGGATTCCCCGAGTGGTGGCCACCGGGGAATGACCGCGGGCGTGGCAGCAACCGTGGACGTGGCTCCGGGCGTGGGGGACATCGCGGAGGCCGCGGCGGAAGAGGAACAGACGGGAAGGGCAGCGGACAGACGACAGCAGCGCACGCTGTAACTGCCGGCGACGGAGGAACATCCAGACTTCTTGACTTTGAAAATCTCACACCTTCTCAGTGGGATACAATTCGTCACGCTCTATCTGTGTCATCTACTCCATATGTTACTCCCGAAACATTAACAGGTATTGCCCCCCGTTGGATTCTTGACACTGGTGCATCGAATCATATGACTGGTGATGTTATGTTGTTTTATGATATTGTGGATATGCCATCTTGTGAAATTGGGTTGCCCGACGGAAAGAAAATTATATCAGTTCAATCCGGGAAACTTAAGTTAACAGACACATTGACTTTGTTGAATGTTTTGCTTGTTCCCAATCTGAGCTTTAACTTGATCTCGTTTTCCCAGTTAACAAAAGAATCTGATTGTGAGGCCCGATTCTCCGCTAATAGTTGCCTGATACAGGACCTAAAGTCGAAGACTTTGATTGGTGTGGGTGAGCAGGATGGTGGACTTTACTATTTCAGACCAATGAAGGACAAAGTGGCGTTGAGTGCAAAATGGGAGAGCAGCTTTGATCTATGGCACAAGCGCCTAGGACATCCTTCACCTCGAGTCTTATCTCTAGTTCCTGTAGTTGGTTCTATTAAAGATAGTAGTTTACAAAATACTTGTTGTGATATTTGTGTACGTGCCAAACACTCTCGTACCAGTTTTCCTATAAGTTATCATCAATCTACTGCAATTTTTGATATGATACATGTTGACCTATGGGGGCCTTATCGCACACCTAGTCTGAATGGATCCACAATGTTTTTAACCATAGTTGATGATTTTTCCCGTGGTGTTTGGGTATACTTGACCAATACAAAGAGTGTTGTGCCAAGAATTTTTCGTGAATTTTGTGCCATGGTTGCAAGACAGTATGGGACACAGATTAAATGTGTACGAAGTGATAATGTGACCGAGTTTGAGTGTTTGAATGCATTCTTCAAGGAGCAAGGAATCCTTCATGAAACCTCATGCGTCGACACTCCACAACAGAACGGACGGGTTGAGCGGAAACATCGCCACATTCTCAATGTCGCTCGTGCCCTGAGATTCTAGTCTGGACTACCTATTGAATTTTGGGGCGATTGCATCCAAACCGCTGCCTACCTAATTAATCGCACACCGTCCTCTCTCTTAGGGGGGGTTTCACCATACTCCAAATTGTATGGGAACCCACCTCACTTATCTCACATTCGTGTGTTTGGATGCAGATGCTATGTTCGAAGAAAAGAGAGCGATAAGTCCGCTCCACGAAGCACACCGGGTATCTTTGTCGGATATCCACATGGAAAGAAGGGATGGAGAATCTATTGCCCCGACACGGGGAAAATAATTGTTTCCCGTGATGTTATTTTTTGGAAAATATTTTTCCATATCTAACCCTTTCAGATAAAGAGACCGATCAACAACTTCCAGTGCCGGATGGTCCATTCCCAATGGAAGATGATTTGATCACACGGCTCCCAAAACAACCCGATGCTGCAACACCTACAGTCTTCGACACCGCCACCAGCGACACAGCTCCGGAGCCCCTTCAGGCCAGCGAAGACACAACACCTGTAGCAGCAGGCGACGTGACGACATCCAGCGCTGCCAGCACTGGCGGCAGCACCAGTGATGAGTTGAAGGACCCACTACCCGACGAGGCAGCATCCACTGCCGCCGAGACAGCACCCACTCCAGAAGCTGGTCGTGGGCAACGAGCACGCATACCGAACACCCGTCTGAAAGATTATGTCACATATACTACCTTCCAAACGCTCAGCAAGTACCCGCTCAGTGCATTCATCAATTATGACAAATTTACTCCTTCACACAAGTGCTATCTCACAGCCATCGACTCCGAGGTTGAGCCCAGAAATTTTCGTGAAGCAATGCGATCCGAAGCGTGGCGCAAGGCAATGCGGGCGGAAATTGATGCATTACAGAGTAACGGGACTTGGACTCTAGTCAGTGCCCCTCCTCACAAGAAGCCTTTGGGGAGCAAATGGGTATACAAAATCAAACGCAAGGCCAACGGTAGTATCGAACGGTACAAGGCACGACTGGTGGTCTTCGGTAATCATCAGGTTGAAGGGTTGGATTATAATGAAACATTTTCTCCTGTCGTGAAACTCACCACCGTCAGAACCTTATTAGCCGTGGCTGCAGCTAAATCATGGGAGCTTCATCAGATGGATGTTCACAACGCGTTTCTTCATGGTGACCTTAATGATGAAGTCTTTATGCGCCTGCCTCCCGGATTCACTCCTCCTCGTCCAGGTCTTGTTTGCAAACTTCAGAAATCTTTATATGGATTAAGGCAAGCCCCCAGATGTTGGTTTGCCAAACTCTCTCATGCCTTAAAGAACTATGGTTTTGTTCAGTCTATCTCCGATTATTCTCTTTTTACGCTACGACAGAGGGGGGGTGTCCTACATGTTCTTGTCTATGTGGATGACCTTGTAATCGCCGGTAGTGACTCTCATCAAGTTAAAAAGTTTAAGTCCTACTTGTCTCAATGTTTTCACATGAAGGATTTGGGGCGCCTTAAATATTTCTTGGGCATCGAAGTCGCGCGCACTCCGGCAGGCATTTTCTTGTGTCAAAGAAAGTATGCATTGGATATTATCTCTGAAGTTGGCTTACTTGGGGCACGCCCACTAGGCACCCCACTTGAGCCAAACCATCGCTTGGCACTTACTACCACGCCATTACTTCCTGACCCTGAGAAATATAGACGCCTCGTTGGTCGCCTTGTTTATTTGTCAGTCACTCGACCGGAGCTGTCCTATGCAGTTCATACACTGGCCCAGTTTCTGCAAGAGCCTCGTGAGGAGCACTGGAAGGCTGCGATGGGTGTGGTTCGATACTTGAAGGGGCAAACCGGTCAAGGGATCTTCTTATCAGCTAGCAATACCTTGCAGCTAACAGGATGGTGTGATTCAGACTAGGCCGCCTGTCCCTTGACGAGGAGATCCCTCACTGGTTGGTTCGTCCAACTTGGCAAATCTCCTGTCTCCTGGAAAACAAAGAAACAAACGACCGTGGCCCGATCATCTGCAGAAGCTGAGTACAGAGCTCTAGTCGCGGTCACTTGTGAGTTAAAGTGGCTCAAGAGTCTACTTGGTTCTCTTGGGATTGAACATTCGAAGCCTATGACCATAAAGTGTGACAGTACTGCCGCATTACATATCGCAGCCAATCCTGTTTTCCATGAACGTACAAAGCACATCGAAGTCGATTGCCATTTTGTTCGAGACGAGCTACTGGGAGGAGTCATCAAGACAGATCATGTTTCCACTACACATCTGCTAGCTGATATGCATACAAAGGCACTGGGCAAAGCACGGCTTGAATTCTTGATTCCCAAGTTGGGCATTTCATTGCTACATGCTCCAACTTGAGGGGAGGTGTTAGAGAAGGAAAAGGAATATTAGAATATTAGTCTTTGATTTGTATTAGACTTGTATATGGTAACTTCCTTTTATTTAGCATTCCTAGTCCTATTAGGAATACCTTGCTGTATATATATACTCCTCATTGTATTGTACAGGATCAAGAAGGAATACAATAGATTTTCAGCCCTAAAACACTTCTGCGTAACAGTTTATATTGTATTTTTGAGAGAGTATAATTTCCTTCTACACCGGCTAAGTTTTGTTCTTCATTTTTATATTCTAGCCGTTGTGTAGAATCCTCTTTTGTGTTCTTCAAACACACCTTCTTACGGTCGAGAATAGCCGTTAAATTCTCACGTTGTAACGGTCAAGGATAGCCGTATAAATCCTTGGGTAAAGGTTCAAGGATAGCCTTTGAAATCCTTGGGGGAACGGTAGAAGATAGCCGTTAAATCTTCATTGTAAACAGTTCGAGATAGCCGTTGTGAAATCTCGGAGTGAATCCTATTGGCAAGGGTTGTTTGCCAAAACTAGTGCGGTGCTTTGACGGAGTTCAAGAGACCGAGACTTAGTGGATTCAGAAATCCTTGAGGAGGAGCCTCGAGGTACTGGAGTAGGGAGTTCCCGAACCAGTATAAAATCGGTGTGCATTTTATTTACGCTTTTATTTCTGCGTTTTATATATTGCTTCCGCATTTGCCAACACCGTTTTTATCAAACTCCGAAAAGATTTTCAAACGCCTTATTCACCCCCCCCCCCTCTAAGGCGTGGGCACAACGACTAAACCGACTAACATAAATCTCTCACCTAAAAAACTAATTAAAATAAAAAATAAAAATACAAATTTATTCCTCGGCGCAGCCTTAAGTTTTCATTTTTTTTAACTTGCATTTTAAATAGGTTGAAGATGATGGTGGAGTATAGGGAGTGTGTTAAAGAGGGACCCATCTTATAGTTAGACACGGAGTAGTTTTATGCCGACCTAAATTCTTAAGGGTCTCTGTACAACAATTTATGGATATAATAATTTAAATAAATAAAAAAAATAGGGAGTAACATATATTCCCTTCGTCCCCAATTTAATTACAAATTGTGAGTTGCGAGGTAAAGAAATTTCGTCTTTTCAAATCATTTTTATTTGTAAATTGAGACTTCAAATTAAAAAACTACGTCAAAAACTTTACAAAATAAGAAGTGATAAGAATATTTTATTTTATTAATTACTCAATGAAAATACACAAATAAACAAAAGTTATCGAGAGAGGAGTCAAAAAAAGATTGAAATCTAATTTGGGACAGAGGAATTATTATAATACAATAATTATAATCCATACCCAACTCAAAGTTTTGAGGTGGCTCCAAAATTTGAGGACTCGTGGGGATGCTGCGATCTGTCATGTTCGGGGTAGCTAGCAGAACACTTAGATAGATCCAATAGGTATGCATAAAACTACTCCGTGTCTAACTATAAGATGGGTCCCTCTTTAACCCACTCCCTATACTCCACCTTCATCTTCAACCTATTTAAAATGCAAGTTAAAAAATGATACCTTAAGGAGCTTATAAACTCCCAAGTTTTTTATTTTTTAATTAAAATAAAAAAATAAAAATACAAATTGCATCCATGTAATTTTGTGTATCAATGTCGTATCTTGACTCTTGAGCACGATGTCTTTTTAAGAGTCACTCTTGGCTGCAAAGTCTAGGGGTGGACACGGTACGGTTCCGGTTCCGGAACCGCCGGTTCCGGTACCGCCACCCCTTGATACCGGTACCGTTCCGGTACCTGGACCGGCGGTTCTGGTACCGGACCGGCCGGTTTCGGCAACCTCCTTTTTTTTTGCTTTTTGTTTTAAATCATATGGGAAATTTTTGTTGTGTTGTTAAACCAAGAAGGATGAAAATATATGTACACGGATTCCTACAAGTCAGGTTCCACATAAGGCAAGAATATAAATTAATTATATTACTACCATATTTACAAAGTGAAAGGCTAAATATATGCTAAATCAATGGTTTCTTTGTATGCATAGCTTGCTTTTCGTAGATAAATGCCAAGTCAAAGGTTTCCATGTATGCATATCCGTAAATATGGTAGTAGTATAATTAATTTATATTCTTGCCTTATGCGAAACCTGATCACCAGATCACAAGTCACAGTTGATTCAGCCGCTGCCCAAAATTGATCGATCTACTCGGAAAAGCAAAAAAAAATACAAAGGGTACCGGAACCGGTAATGGTACCGCCAGTGCCGGTATCGAAATATTGGCACCGGAACCGATACCGTGGGGGGCGGTGCCGGTACCGTTTCCCCGAAACCAGAGAGACGTGAGGCCGACGGTGACGGTAGCGGTACCGGCGGTACTGTTGCTGGTAATGGTATTGTACTGGTACCGTGTCCAGGCCTACTGCAAACAAGTGTCTCAAGCGATTCAGCGCTAAGACAACTTCCACTACGCCAAAAACAGTATCAGACCACTGTTGATTAACTACTGTTTATGGAAACACAGTAGTTTAAAAAAACAGACTACTGTGAGTTTTTCTTGGCTACTGAACAGTAGTCTAAATATTATGCTTTAAAACTATTTTTAAAGTTTCGAGAAACAGTAATCTATCACTAGTTGTCTGTGTCAATTCAAAATACAGTTTTTGTTACAACAGTTGTAAATAACAAGTTAAGAATACTCTATTTAAGCAGTAGTCTGGTGTTCTAGTCTAGAACTGGTTTTAAACTTATTAGAAACAGTTATCTATCGCTAGTTGTTTGTTTCATATGGTTTTTTTTGTCACTGTTGATTCTAATGGGAATAGAAGACTCTTTTGTAATAGTAGTCTATGAATTAAGGGTAGAACTGTTTTTAAAGTTGTGAGAAACGGTAATCTTTTATTAGTAGTCCTTTTCATCTAAAAATACAGTTTTTGTTGTCACAGTTGTCAAAAATTTATTAAGACTACTATTTCTAAACAGTAGTCTGGTTTTTCAACTTATAACTGTTTTTAAACTTATAAAAAATAGTATTCTATTGTAAGTTGTATGTTTCATATGGTTTTGTTTTGCATAGTTGTTTATTATAAGAATAGAAGACTCCTTGTAACAGTAATTAATTTATATAGCGTAGAACTTTTTTAAAAATTCATAGAAACCGTAATCTATTACAAGTTGTCTATAATATATTAAGAATACCCTTTTTAAGCAGTAGTTAGACTATTAAGTCTAGAATTGTTTTTAAAATTCTGAGAAACTGTAATGTATTACTAGTAGTGTGTGTCATACCGTTTTTTTTCACGGTTATCTACAAGAATGCACGTTGAAAAGAGACGGAAATTTAGTCTTGTAATGGTCTCAAAAGTGAGACAAATTAGAGACTAATTCATCAGTCCCATTTATTTGAAAAGTGGGATGAAAATGATCTGAGACAACTTTGAAAAGAGACGGAATTCAGTCTCTCATTTGTATAAAGTCGGTCAAGCATGTCACTTGGAATTATTTGTAATAGAGACCAAAATCTATCTGAAAATGCAAATATTAAAAAAATAAAAATTCTATATTTCTAGGATCAGTGACACAAAGTTGTACGAAAAAGTTAATACTAGCTAGTTCATAACAATAATTAATGCTTTTTGAACAAGACATTTTTGACGTTATTTAAGAATAAAATAGCACAACAAAACAATGCCTTATACAACTTAAATATTGTAATACATGTCCACTATGATCTAAAACAAACCGCAAAATATTGTAAGCACATGCAAATATGCAAAATGTTTCAAAAAAAGCACATAAGAAGTACAAAGAATCCCAAAGAGGGTAAGCCAGACATCATAACCCAAATATGGCCTCTTTTTTTTTCTTTTTTTCTTTTGCTTCCCCTTTTGTAATAATAAAACTGTGAGCATAGAAAGGTACAATAATTCTTTACAAAAAGTTCGGGGTGATACTTGTGAGTACACTTCAAAGTCCATTAGAAGTTGGGAACATTGTATAGTCATGTATCATGTGATATGGGTAACCTGTACCACCATTACTCGTTCCATTATATGGATTCGAACCGACCATTTTCCAGTGGTTAGGAATCACCCATCCCGGGCAGAGTTTTGCAGCATATGCTCTGGATGTGTGTCCCTCATGCCATTGACGAAGCTTCTAGAATAACCACCATTGTTGAAACTATGAAAGCTCTCACCTTTTTGTTCTGAGCCCATCCCAAGACCATGCCCATCATCCAGTAGATCATTGATGATGTCGAGGTGTGGGAATTCATCCGTGAAGCCAGTGGGAGACTGATGATGCCTTGATGGAAGATCATTGCAGGTCCCGTTCTCCACGGCTATACCTATATATCACACCATATTTATTAAATTCACTACTAATCAACATATTACATCTACATTTACGCATCACATCATTGAAAAATTGAAAAAGTTAAAGCACAAATGTACTTACCTAAAACTTTTAAAAGTCATAATAGAAAAACTTTTTTGGAACAGCTAGAGTATATAAACAAAAATATTTTTGACCCCCCAAAAATGGACTCCTTTGCCCACCCTTGAACCGACCTTAGCTGGGGGAAAGGTGAGAGACACGATTAGAGGTCTTAGTGGTAAAAACCACTTTCAGATTGAAGAAAAAAACTGCCAAAATAACTAGGGTGCTATTGAAATGCTCAACTTTGACGATCACGTTTGTTGTACCCGAGACCCGGGGTCTTATCAAGTAATCAATTTGATGGCGGGTTTACGGAGGAAATGGAAGCAAGAAGGAAACAACTTTGAACTCCAAAGTTCAGAAACGCGTGATAGTCGATTATCATTAACTGATAATCGATTAACTAGATATGATTTCCAAACCACGAATGTTCTGAGATGCACGATAGTCGATTATCACTTTTATGATAATCGATTGTTGGAAATGACGGGGTAAATATGGCGGTGATGAAGGAGTTCTTTTTGGTGTTTTGATTTATGAAGATAGAATAGAATGTGGTATAGGAAGAGAAAATGGAGAGGAACGAAATGGATAGAGAACAAGGATGGATAAACCAAATAATGAATAAGAGATAAACACACTCTTATTATATTTGGGGCTGATATCTATTTCACACAATAATAATCACTACTAATGTATAAAATAGACTCCTAACACACACTCAAAAGTAGCCAACTTTAGAGATATTTCATTAGGAAATTTGGTTAAAATAGTATCACACTATTTTAAGAGAATACTCAAAAGAGTAAACAAAGTTTTTCATTCAATACAATCTGGTGTACAATGGCCTCATGGCCGAGATTATATACAAAAAGGGGAAGGGAAAAAAAACAACAATGGCAGCTTCCTTTCTTCTTCCTAAATCACATGTTTGACATTAATGCAAAACCATCTATTTGAGTTGAATTCTAGGACAAAGATGGTGGATTTTGTTTGGCTTTTCTTGCATAAGGAATTCGGCCATATGTGGAATAAGTCAAGGACATTATGTGGCTGTGATGAAGCATTCCTTGGCCTATTTTGAGGTGCATATTTCGGCCATATGGGTGCAAGACAAAGGAAATAACATGGCCTGATTTTTAGTGAATAATAGGACAAGAAGTAACTATTCAATCAAAGACCTTTTGCTGATTTTTGTCCCTTTGTTGTGTGTGGTGATTTAGGCCTGATTTTGGGAAGAAAATGGTAGGAATTTCGTGGGAAATGTGTAGGAAAATAAGGGGAAAGTCTTATTTAATGAAAGGAACAAAAGAAGTAGAAAACAACACACAAGGTTTGTCTTTTTGGTCATCATTTTCGTCCAAGGCTAAAAAGGAGGGTAAAGACTTTATTTTGATTATCAAATGAAGATTAAAGACTTTTGGATATTTTTGGAGAGGTTGGGATTTTAGTGGAGCCATCCAGGGGTACATCAACGTTACGCTAAAAAATTACTCCCTCCACCCTCATATAATTTAATTGTCGATTGAATTGCATCATAAGCACATTTGCATGTGAAACATTTTGCATATTTGCATGTCCATTAATCTTATGTTCCTCGGCTGGTGGTCCTTGCGTATCAATAATCAGTTGAGATGGCAAACCACACATACATACTAAAGCAGAGCCTATGATGCAATTCAATCGACAATTAAACTGAGATACAGATCGGAAATACAAACGATTGGAAGATTAAAATGCTAAAAACAATAGGCTAACCGGGATTACCTTGTATTGAACGGTCCATGTTAAACTGCTGTTCTCCGTCGTGGCTACTTGCTTTACGGTCTATGATTATACTTCACAAAGATGCAATGTTTTTCATTCTTGATGTCTTTGAATAAGAATCATACTCCCTCAAATCCATATCTTTCTTCCATTTTTGCATCTAACTCTCTCAAGGATAAGGAGAGATTCTTCAACAAAACAAAACAAACCAAACCAAACCCAATCAAACATCCCTTAACTTTCATTCAGTGTGTGTATAGTAGGTAATTAAAGCTATTCATAAAACAAGCTAAGAAGTCACACAAACATAGATATATGCAGATGTTTCATTAACCCACATCAAAGAATAAAAATGTTCGCAAGACTAAGAGCAGGATGCATTGCAATATAGAATCCAGAATCAATTTCAGGTCATCATATGAAGCTAATAATAAGAACATTTGAATCTCAGTGCGATTCATTTCCCTACAATCAGAACACTCCTTGAGAATCAATGGACAAAATGCTTAACAAATTATGATAAAATCGCACATAAAATTGCATTAGATCGAAAAATTGACGGTTCAAGAAAACTTGCCAAATTACAAACAAGAAACACTGATCTTTGGTTCAGATGATAATAATAGATTTAAAAAAATAAAGGAGCATCACAAAACCTAATCAAGAGATGAAGCTCCATCAGTTGCTACCCAAACCCAAATGTTACCACTGTCAGGAGCTAATGGAGCAGCGAGGAGTTACCCAGGTCCTTGTCACTGCTCCTTGACGGTCGCCGGAGGAAGTCGCCGGAATACGTCATTCCCTGTCATCGCCGGTCGCTGCCTCTGTCACCGTAGATGCCAAATCGCTGGAATTTCGCCGTTGTGGGTCTGCATCGCTGCGTTCGATGAGGGTCGCCGGGGAGACGCTGCTGCTTTCGTCGCCGATTGGGGAGAATTGGAGAAGAAGGTTGTCGCAGCTAGGGATCGGAGAAGAGAGGGGCGGCGGAATTCTTTGATCTAAGAGAAAGAAAAAGAGGCTAAAAGTGAAAAGGGAAATTAAGAAGATGGAGGTGAAATTGGGAGGAGGGAAAACAAATTTAGGAAGAGGGAAATGAAAATTTTTAGAGATTTAGATTTTTGGGTGTGTTTGGTGTGGTTTGATGGTCATATAAGATATGAGTTTTAAAATTTAGAAGAAATAATGTAATACCATAATCTGTTCAGGTTTCAATAAATCATTTCAAAGTTCATATCATAAATAAATTCTTTATTTATTCTTAATTTGGTTATAAGATTCTCAATCAAGATTACATAAATAGTCAACATTCGGATTTATATTCCATGAGATATGAATTAATTGAATAATAATTCAATAATAATTTTAGGATATGTTCTAGGTCGTTACAAATAATACGAGTTTTAAAATCTGAAACAAAGTTGTTTGGAGAGATATAAAATAGAAGGGCTGAACACATCCTCATATTTAGTGTTTCTGATATTTGATCACATCTTATTACATAATCACAACAGATCTGATGAGATCTGGTTTAATTAAATATAATCTGATTTAGAATGATTGTAGTTATATGTAGTTTTATTTTGCATTGAAAAATTATACCTTTTGAATTCAATATGATTGTAGCGATGCATTTAAATATTATATCTGGCAAATAAGACACAACCTTGACAAGTAAATTGATTTTTTGAAGATTATATCTAATCTTATTGGATTTAAATTTGATTTGATCCGATTAGATCTGTTTTGGTCTTATTCGATGTAATTAGATCTGATCTGATGCATTTAATATTTATATCACAAAAATAATACACAACCAACACAAGTAAATTATTTTTTTAAAGATTAGATCTAATCTTATTAGATTTGAATTTGATTTGATTTGACCTGTTTTAGTCTAATTCAATCTAATTTGATCTGATCTGATGTATTTATAGATTAGATCAAGCAAACAAGATACGACCTATATAATTAAATTGTTTTTTAAAGATTTGATTTTATCTTATTAGATTTGAAATATGCAGTGGCTCACATGAAATATGCAAGCAATAAGATCTGATTGAATTTTATTTTATCTTATCTTATCTAGTTATATTTAAAAAAAATCTTTCTAATTTGATCTGGTTTAATCTAATTTGATTAGATATAATCTAAACAACATATAAACATGATAAACTGAGATGTAGCATTAAATATATAAGCAATCAGACCCGATTGGATTTGATTTTATCTTATCTTATCTTATGTTATCTTATCTTATATAATTAAATCTAATCTTGACTGATCTAATTGGAATAGATTTAATTTGCTTGATCTAATTATATTTATATTTTAAAAAAATTTAATTCGATTTGATTTAATCTTATTTGATGAGATATGGGTTGATTAGATATCATCTAAACAACATATAAACATGTTAAACTCAGATGCAATGATCTAATTTGGTATAACCTTATCTGTCTGTGTTTTTTTTGAAATACAATAATCTTTTATAAATAATAATATTTTGAAAGTATCTTATAAAATAAATATAAAATTATTTGGTAACAATATCTAAAGTCAATTTTATTTTAGTGGTCAAAGTTTATGAATTTTTTCGTAAAATTCAAAACTAGATAAAAGAAAGAAAAACAAAAAAAAAACTTAGAACAACAAAAAAATAAAAAAGTAGAAAAACTTCAAAAAATAAAAAGTAAAAACGAATCTAAAAAATAAAATAGAACAAAAAAATAGAATGTAAAGTTTGTTTTGGGAAGGAAGGAGTAGAATCTAAGGGTGGGAGAATGAAAACAATAGAGGGAAGGAAAAATTTTTGACAAAAAATGAGAGAGGGAAATATACTGCCATTTGTTTAAGTAATATCCACCTTTTCATTCACCATGACTAGAGATTCATTCTAGCCCTATTCACGCCCAACCAAATCGTGAGACTATTCACGCCTACCAAATCCGCTTCTTGCTAAATTTGTAACGCCCTAGAAACCGGCATAGAAATTAATGAATAATTAAATAAATAAGAATTATTTATTTACGACAATCTATTCTTTTAAAGAATTAAAATATATTTTAGAATTCCTAATCGTCTCAATATAACGTGACTAATCTGATTGTATTTATAAAGATTTAGGGGATGTTTGTTTTAGCCTCTTAATGGTTCAGATGTCTGAATGGTTCAGCACTTAATGGTTCAGACTGTTTGTTTCAGCCTCTTAATGGTTCAGATGTCTGAATGGTTAAGAGATTTGCCTCTGAATGATTAAGTATTATACAGAGTCTGAATGGTTAAGACCTCTTATCTGAATTGATCAGACATTTGCCTCTGAATAGTTAAGCAATATACTAGCTCTTAATGGTTCAGACCTCTTACTGGTTCAGCACTTAATGGTTCAGACCTCTTACTGGTTCAACACTTACCGATTCAGAAGTTGCCAAACAGCCCCTTAAAGTAAAAAGACTCATTGGTATTAACTAATCGAGAGAATTAAGACGGACCAAGTGAAACTTATAAATGCTTGTTGAATGATTATAAAAGTTATACTGTTGAGTAGGGATCGACGAATCAAATCCAACGATACAAACTGATCTCAATTCGGAGCAAGTTGACACGAAAAGTGTGTTTTACTCAGACACGTTATTTTAAATTACGGAGAGCAAAACCCTAGGCATATATATACTCTTTTCACGCGTTAGTTTTGGGCCTCCTTCTTCCCCGATCGAGACACGCCGCTACTAGACCTAATTTGTTTTCCTTCTCCGACGAACTCCGATCACCATCCCCCGCCACCACGACATCGCCGACGGCCCCCCTTGCATCTGCGACCAACGATGACGCAAGCAACACGGACAGAGGCAACGAATTGGACGAGGGCAGCAGCCTCCGGCGACTCCCTCTGTTCCGGCGAAGTCCAGCAGCGACGGGGAAGGGCGATGTCGCGAGGCCAGTCGACGGCAACGAATGGTCTCCACCGGAGGGCGACCTCCATCTTTGGCGGAGAATTTCCGGTCAGACATAGGGGTGGTGGTGATGATCTCCACCGGCGACGAGGGTAACAGCGGCGAGAAGGGGGGGGAGTGGCCTCCATCTTTTCCGGCGAAACAGTGGGGAGTCCAGCGAGCCTCCTCGGCTCCGGCGAAAATAGCAGCGACGGCGTCTAGACGGCAGGCCGGCGACGGCTTCTGGGCAGCGACTCCGGCGATATCTGCTATATCTGCAATGTCTCTTTTCACTACCCAATCGCCAACTGGAGTTGTAAGTTTCCTTCTAGTTTCAATCGGATCTGTTAAGTAAATGTACATGTTGCTAGGTTTTTCTCATTAAAGCCTAATTGTTGTGGATTTATGGAAAGCTACAAATTCTACATCTACCGTGACTTAGCTTTGATTGTGAATAGATGTCTACTGCGGCAGAGCATGCTTAATGAGACTGTTTGACTCATTAGAGTATATTAAGGTCTAATTTATGAACTATTCAGGATAATTGTTGGAGTTGTTTTAAGGTCATGTGTGTGTTTTAGCATATTCATAGGTGATATCTTCTATTGTAAATTTTACAGGCCATAACCTCATCAGGGTCAAAGAAAGGAGGTCGATTTGTGGCTGATCTTAATATTAAGCTTAAGAGCAAAAAGATTACAATAGATATCAAAGTTGATAGCAACTCAAATGTGAGTCTCTCCTTATACATTTGATTCACATATATATAATACATGTATCGCTTGCCTTGTTAGGATAATCCTTTGTTTAAAATTTCAAAGGAGAGGAGTGATATGTTCATGTATGATATATCTGTCAGTGTACTTAAGTTTATAACGAGCAGATTAGCGGCCTTTTGTCTACATCATCTCCATCTTCATCAAAGAAGTATATATTCATTATCCCCTACTTTCATTTTAAATACATTGATGTTTTCTTCAAGTTAATCTCCTCTAACTTTTTTTTTTGTTTTCAGATTGGAGATTAAACAAGCTTCTGAAGGGTTTCACTACATACCGGGAATAGTAGAAGCTAGAGTTGAAAATATTAATGAAGTATGGGGTGTGTTGCAGGCTGGAAGCACGGGCTGTGGGATCCAACAATGTGAATGAGCATAGTAGCCGTTCTCACTGATTCAGTGCTGGATGTTATTGAGGGGACAAATAACTAAATTAGGCATGCTCAATGGACAATTAGAATGTGATTTTAATTATGTAAATATCAAATTTGTATGTATTTAAATATTATATTGTACATTTTGGAATTTATTTTTGTTTCATAATCAATATTTTAGAATTGAAATAAATTTTAATTAATAAATATAATTTTAAATTGAAATATAGTAGTCTTTCAAAAAGCTTTACAATGTATTTAAACAGTTTTCTAAATCTTTAAAGGATGACTACACAAACTTGTATTGTTAATAAAAGTTAGACAATTTAATCAAATAGTTGTATGAAATACAACAAATAAAGTTGTTTACATCTTAAAAATACAACACATAATAGCAGTTGTTTTATGCAAACATAATTAGTTGTCTTTGGTGCAGTAGTCTGATTAATAATCTGACTAGTGTGTAAAAAGTTAGTTTGAATATTTCAAAGACAACTACAAAAAGAACAGTGTTATTAAATACTATATAGCTGAAAGAAACAGTTGTTTAGAATACAACAAAATTAGTAGTCCATATTCTAGAAATACAACAAAAGATGACAGTTGTCTAATGTTATTTTCGTTTAGTAGTCTTCCGAGCAGCAGTCTGATATATCTTTCAATTACTTTTTAAAGTAGATGTCTATATTGTTGAACGACAACACCAAGAATTAGGAGTCTGAAGTTAAAAACAACAGTAGTATTCATTACAGATAGACAACAAAAAATCACAGTTATCTTTAACTCTAAAAAACAGATGTCTTACTCATACGGGGACAACACTAAAAAGTGGTACTCTAAAACATTACAAAACAGGTATCGTCAACCATTTTACACAATTGTTTTTAAACAATAGTCTATAAGTATATCAGACAGCTGCTCGGAAGACTACTGAAATCAGCACCGAGAGACTACTAAAAGAAACAGTTGTCAGCATTTGTTTTTGACGTAGTGTTCGGTAGTCGGTTAGAATGTTGCCACTGGAACTAAACTCTAGTTCCACAGCTACAGTTGAAACCAACATGGACAAGACTTGTCTGGCTAGCATTCCGAGATACGGAAACATGTGTCATTCCGTTTCCACCATTCAATGACGTCAAAATCGCTATCATTGTCTTCATCGTAGTCGCATGGGACCCCTTAGTACATCGCAAGTTCATTGTGCAAACTTACACTTGTACCACCTGAATGCATCGAGGCAGAACTACACTTACCTTTTTTTTGCGAAGGAGCCACCGACTATCCCTTTAAAACCTTTTTTTTGTCATTGGAGGCAGAGGAGCTACTGTTTCTTCTTGTGCACTACCGTACAAAAGTTTAAATTCTTTAAATAATGACTCAAAAAGATCAATAACATTATCTCTATCTTTTGTCTAGTCTATTAAATGGTCATAAAATAACTATTTTCATCTAAAAAATGTTGTAATACTCCATGAGAATTTTAAAATTATCAATCTTAAAGTGTGGATCATAAATAATACCAATTTTATAAATATCAGGAATATACAAGTAATATTAAGCGCACTACTTATGCTTCATAGGATACACATAGGGATATAAATGTGGATCAGATAAACTTTCATGAAAACATGTTGCAATTGTAATACACTCAAAAAAAATCTATTTGTCGTAGGTTTGTAAACATGTGAGAAAGTAAGAGTTGCATTATTAAAAACTTCTAACACGGTGTTCAATTTTTCAACAAGAATAAATTCATTCAAATCAACCATATGATGAAGTATATATCTAAGAAATGAAGCAAGTTCTTCTTTATAGCCCAGAATCCATGAAATCAACGATATGTATTATTCCATCTAATCGTAATGTCGTTAGCAAATGTTATTGGTTTTCTATTCCTAGACTTACATAAAGACTTCCATGCCTTCGAATGAATACGGCCAACCCAAATCTTTTTTAAACCACCTAAATATTGGTCAAAATCCCCCCATAGCTGCTAATCCTTGTTGAACACACAAACTTAAAATATGACAGGCACACCTTTAATTTGGTGTAGAAATCTACCATGGCGGTGCTAAGGGGGCAAATTTCTCTAAGTCTAGGAATAATAGCAGTATTTTTAGTAGCAATATCAAAACCTAATGCAAACACTTTATCAAGTAAATTGTATTCTTTGAGAATACGCTTAAGCAAAAGATTAATATTATCACCCGTGTGAGTTTAATTGAAATAACGAAATGCAAGAACACATTTATGCATTATCCAATAACTATCTATCTAATGACAAGTAACACTCATGTAAGACAAATTATGATAAGTTTCACTCCAAATATAAGAATAAATAGTAACACGAGAATTAAAAGTAAGAAAAAATATGCCAAATTATTTTTTTAACTTTATATTGTCTAATAATTTACCTTTTAATTGTTTTTATTAAAAAACCTCTTTCTTGAAGGTTTAGTGTGGTTTGACAATAATCAATAAATCCAAGTTTTTCAGAAAACATGTATGGTAAATTTTTCTCCCAAATCATTTCGGTCATTTTTTGCTTATTTTGCCCATTTCTATAAGAAAAAAGGCCGCCCTTACCCTTGTTTACAAAACGAGAAATTTGGGTGTGTACTTGTCCCTTCTTAGCCATAATTTTGGCGTACTCCTTGGGGTGCCTCACTTTGAGGTGTTTGGCCGGTCCATCATAACCCCCGGAAGTTCCCATTCTAATGTTTGTCCCACAATGGTTACAAATCCCTATTTTACGCTATTTTTTTGTATCATTATGAAAATACTACACAAATTTAGGTTTTTTTACCTTTTTCCGGACCTTCTGAGGTCTCGGGCTCATCTGTCTAATCGTCCCCTTCGGTATGATCATTGCTCTTGGGTGTTGGTTCGACCTCCTCATCAACGTCCTCGAAGGAGTTTGAAGATTGGTGTTGGCCTGAGACATTAGAAAAGGAAACTCAATCCCTTTGGGATTTAGTTTTGTATCTTTCCTAGTTTGCTTAATTCTTGTTTTAGTAAGAATAGAAATTTCCTTGTTTGTTTTATCCTCTTTCACATGAAGAAGGTTAATCCTTCGTATTCCATACGCCAATTTATTACAGAAATATTTTTTCTTTCTATTATTTTCTACATGGTATCTGAGCCAAATTGTTGGTGACTTAAAATTTTTTGTTTTCGCTCCAGGTGGGCGGTGCCCCCATTGTTTTCTACATAGTATCTTTCTTAGTTTACTTAATTCTTCTTTTATTAGTAGGAATAAAAATATCCTTGTTTGCTTTATCTTCTTCCTATATTAAGAGAATTAATCCTTTGTATTCCATAAGTCAATTCAATATAGAAATATTTGCTCCTCTTATTATTTTCTACAATTGGCATCATTCCTAGGAAGAAAGACCAAAGTAAGACTAAAACATTGAAGATATACCTAAATAGGACTTCCATGTTTTTATTCTTGAAATAGGACTTATATTACCAAACATTGTCATATACATTACCAAGAAAGTATAGTAATTTGCACATGTACACTGCCACATTACCACAATGCAAAGTAACATTACCACAATGCAAAGTCCTATTCCGGGAAAAAAAACATGAAAGTCCTATTTTGGTACTTTTCTCTATGTTTTAGTCCTATTTAGGATGATTTCTATCATTCCTACCTCTCATGCCACCTATGTACTGATCGAATTCTTGATCCCTCATAGCGTTGCTCATGAACTGCTCGGGAATAACAAGAAAAGAAGAGACAGAGTGCCTCCCTTGAAAAACACGTGAGCTCGAACCTTCGGAGGTGGTGTGGGCTTTGTCTTTGTTAGAACTTCCATGTCCACGTTTCACAACGCCCATATCTACAGACTTTCTACCAGACTCTTTCGATATTTTAATATATTATTTATATTGATAAAAAATAAGACAATATATTAGAATATTATAATATTCTAAATTTATAATATTGATAGTATAGTATATTTAAAATATATTATAATATAAATATATAATATATTTATAATATATGATTATAGTACATAAATTTAAAAAATATATAAATATGATTATATTGAGAATTGAGAAGAATTAGAGATCTAGAGAACGAGATTAAGAGAATATGACTTGTGGATTTTTAAATTTTTTTTAATGGTATATATAGGTATAAGTTAAACCCCCCACCCCTCAATGACTTTATAGCCGTTACCCAACCCAACGGTCGGCTAGGAAAAAGAAAAAAAAGAATTGAACCGAAACCGTTGCCGACAATTTCGGTACCGAAATATTCGATTCGGAACCGGACCCGTGTTCACTCATTTTGGGTCTAGTTCTCGTAACTGGCCCCGTCTCCGTATCCGGTCTGGTGGCGGAACCGTCGGTTCCGGCGCCCGGTGGCAGTTTCGTACCGGGACCGCATCCACGAGTAGGGTAGGTGGGGTTCATCTTTTATACACATGTACAAGCCGTATGCGATTCGAAAGTTACTTTCGGGGTTTCCCCAAACTTGGCGCCCAGGAGCTTCTCCACCAAACTTTTTCCTGATCTTCTCTGGTCTGTAATGTTCCATCATCTCCGATGGAGCCAAAATTTCACCATTTTTTGGCTTTGGGGTGTGATGGAATAAATCAAAATGGATCTCTAAACTGTCTGCGCTTCTTTAATTAATGAAGTAGCAGTTAGTCAAGCAATGCAACTTTCGACGTTGAGCCGGGGGTCTCTTTGGAAGCAGCCTCTCTACTTTCGAGTAGGGGCAAGGTCTGCGTACACACACCCTCCCAAGACCCTACTGGTATTTAACTGGGTTGTTTGTTGTTCTCTGGTCTTAACCCTCGAAGTTACCGTTTGGAAACCTTTTAGAGGTTCAATTCCCTCCGGAATTGAATTGAATTCCTTCTTTTGTTCCGGTTTTCGGGTTGTAAACCTGTAATTGATACCAGAAGGATTTGTTAGTCTTCTTCTTCGTTCTTCTGCATTCTCTTTCCCGAGTCTTCTTCTTCTCCTCGTCCTCCTCCACATCCCCTCCTTTAGTGGAAGGCGGCGACCAACCATGAGGATTGTTGTAGGAATTCAATTCAATTCAAATCCACTACAGTAGAAGTTTAACATGCCTTAGGGTTTACATTTCGCTTGAATAAAATGAAGAGAACAAGCAGAAGATCGTCAGTTATTGCCAAAGATGGAGCGGTTTCTGTAAGCTCGTTCGTTTTTTTTAAAACCTTTTTTCTTGGATATTGAATTTGTTTTTACCTGTTTCAAACTCAAATTTGCTTTTCGTTTTTGGGTTTGCGGAAGGAACACTATAATTCTTCAGGAAAGAATGTCGTTGTGGTTTGCAGGTTGGGAATTTCAGTACTAGATTCTCGCTTCCTTCATTTGTCAAGCGAGTCAATAGGCTGACTGAAGCTCAGAAAGAGGCTATAAGAAGGACTGGGTTTGGCACTTTACTCTTGATTCCAAATCAAATGCTTTGTAAAAACCTCTTAGTTGAGCTTATGGAAAGATGGAATTGCGACAAGTCTGTTTTCGTAATTTCTCATAGGGAGATTACCATATCCCTTATGGACGTTGCATTAATCTTGGGATTAAGGGTGATGGGAAAACCTGTAGTTCTAAGGGAAGACACACCATTCCTTAGTTTGGAAAAAGATTATGGTGCTGTCCTCTGGAATCGAAAAATTACTGTTGCCTCAGTCGAAGAGAGACTCGAGTCTCTTGGAGAGGCTGTCGGTGAAGACTTCTTAAGGTCATTTCTGTTATTTATGTTTGGAACACTGCTCTTCCCCAACTCAAATGGAAAAATCGAATCACGATACCTTTACCTTCTCCGGGATTTGGATAGAGTGGATGAGTTTGCTTGGGGTGCAGCTGTTCTTGAAGATCTATTTTACTGGTTGAGCAAGAGAAAGAGGGACAATGTGCAATATGTGGGAGGCTGTCTGATCCTTCTCCAAGTAAGCTTAGCAATCTAATTGAATCATCATGTTGCTATAAATATTGTTATTTTTGTTTCATCTTAGACATATCTCTGTAATACTATTGCTCCAACAGGTCATATTTGTTGGGAAAGCAAGAACACAAATGAATGTGTAGTGCCCAAGATCAGCACCTTTCCCTCTTGAATGAATCCGTGAGGAGCAAAAACAAACACACCAAAGAACACCAAGCAACAAGATAATCCAAGCACGAAAAATAAAGTGATATGAGGCACGAGATTTTAACGTGGAAAACCCTTTCAATGTGAAAGAGTAAAAAACCACGAGACCCTTCGGTCCAAACAACTCCACTACCACCAAATTGAGAGTACAAATGCACAATATAACAACACCACAATGATATCTAGCCCTTAACAACACTACGAAGGCACTAGAATCAAAATAGAGGAACAAAAGTGTAACAAATCACCAAAAAACTGCAGCTGGTGCGAAGCTCATAACTTGAGATTGAACCGTTGAAATTCGATCTCCACCGTTCAGATTGAAGCTCCACAAGTCCTTAGACTCCTCCTAAAATTTCAGCTCGATCGGACAAGATTTGGACCTCCGATCGACCAAAAAACCAGACCTGCGTTTTGTAGAAAATGGCAGCGGCTATCTGCTGTTTTTTCACCCTTTTCTTGCGGCTGTTTTTCCTCCTTTCTTTTGTGCGTGAATTGTGTATCCAACCAGCTGTACCTCTCAACAATTTAGACCCTTAATTGGCCATCAAAAGTGGATTAAAATTGGGCTTGAGTATTACACTCCAAATGGGCTTTTAAAACACATAGTTGGGAGCCCAAACCCAACAATATTGTCTAATCTTCTGTAGTGGTTTTTCATATCTTGTTAGACTAAAGCACATTGAATCTTTTTGTTTTTTTTGGAATTTAACATTTCCAGTGGTGGATATGCACAGATATGGTGTTATGAGCATATTAAGATCGCTAGGCCCGCTAAGATAGATAAAACTGTTAATCATCCCCGCGTTTGCCTATGGGGAACTACACAAACCCATCACCGCCAGTGGTTCATTGACAAGTTCAAAACTCTCGGAGGCAATCAGGTATTTGAGCTCAACAATAGTTGGTTGCTATTATTACTATACTCCCTCCGTCCTGTAAAAAAACTTCTTTGTTTGACTTTCACGGAGTTTTAGAAAATTGTTGAAAAAGTGAAAACTTTATGGTTAGTATTTGTTTAGAGGAATCTAGAGAGAGAATAGTTGGAGCCACTCTTACCTTTAAAAAGAAAGTGATTGTTTTTTGGACTGATGAAAAGGTGAGAGTGAAGGTTTTTTACAGAACGGAAAGAGTATCTTTTTAAGATGCTCTTATATTGTTTTTCATGTCCTTGCAAATTTATTCTTTCAGTGCTTGGCTCTATTGCTTTTATTTCAGATGATTGGGAAAACCAACTTTATGTGAAATTTTGTAGAATCATAGTCACCCACTCACTGTTTAATAGTTTCTTCAGTAATGCAATAATAATGCCTGTTCGCGTCTGGATTACAAACTGGTTTTATGCCTTTGTTTCCTAACAGTGCCACGTTTGATAAAATAGTACTCCGTACTAATATGCTTTCTAATAAAGTCGCTACGGTTCACAGTAGAAATGTTTGGTGATCAAAATGTACCCATTTATTTATTCTTTTACCCAAGATTGTTTCGAGCGTTGAATTGACTCCTGACGAATCAGAGATTGGAATAATCAAAGAGTTGCTAGAGACACAGTGGGAAAGTGCAGGACAAACTGAGCTGCAGCTATCATCAGATAATGTTTCTGATGTAAATTTCCTTTCCTCTTTTAACTTGTATTGTACGATTTCTCTAAGGCTTTGAAGCTAAATAGTATATTAGTAGCAACACACGTCAGGTCCAAGTGTATAACAATTTTGATTAATCTAAGCCCTTTACCAGATAAGAGAACAATTTATGGTTGAAATGGAGATGGACTCAGTGAAAATAATCAGTAAAGAAGCCTATCAGGAGCAAATAGGTTGTCGGGTTCAGGAGCAAATAGGTTGTCGGGTGACCTCTGGACCTTATTGTGTAGAAAGTGCAACTGAACCAGCAGAGGATCCACTAATTTCATGCGGAGGTTCTGTTGTATTAATCAGCAGCAATGTGAGCATATCTTCTCTCTGATGCTCTATTGTTTTTCCCATCTCTTTTTGCGCTCCATCATCCGTTACTGAATATGTATTTGTTTGTTAAGGATGATTGTGAGGGTGATCTGCAAAGAAAAAACTTGGTTTTGGAAGAGCAGTTAAATGAACTAAGGAAAGAAATTGCTGATCTGAAAAGAGAGAATGTCGTTTTGCACGACCGCCTCTCATCATGTCTTAAATTTGAGAAGCACAATGTGGAACTGATGAAAGAAGTAGATACTATGAGACAAGAAAACTCAGCAATAAATACTCTTGTGGTTCGACTAGAGAGAATTGTTCTTGATGATAACAGTACATATATGGTTGATGATCAGGACATTACAAAAATACCGAGCATTGAATGAAGACTCAACTGAAAAGCACCGGTATGTTTTAGGATTCGAGAAAACATTGTATTTGTCCATATTTGTTTGAGTGTGACCGAAACATGAATGTGTCTGTTTAGGGGATTTTGTAAAACGACCTTTAGCAGTTGTCTGCATTCATCTTCATTTGCATCTAATTTGTGTTACGGAATAATGCTTAGTGAATATAACCATAATCGTTTCTGATCAAAGTCCAAGTAACTAATTGCATACACTTTAAGCCATGGGCATTAATTAGGTGGACTCCATGCTTATGAAGAAGACATTGGATTTCATCAGAGATTCCTTTGCAACGATATATATGTTGACAACCTGTACATTGCTGAGACTTCCATTAGTGCATCAATGGGTTTCTCTCTTCTGGAAGAGTTTATGATCTAGAAGACCATCATCTGGAAAAAAGAGTATATTCCTTCAAGATGTTCATTTGTCGTTTGGCTTGGCCTCCTAAGAAGCCGCCAAATACGGATAAATTGAAGTCTTTTCATATTGAGAGGCAATATAATAAGAGTTATGTGGTGATGAACAAGAAATAGTGGAACACCTTTTCTTTGGATGGATGCATGTTCTCTTTCAGGTGATATATGGATGGAGGATAATTCACAGTTCAAGAGCAAAGGTGCTCGATCGAATGGCTTTTCTGTTGCTCTGCATCTCGACCCTCCTTTGAAATGTAAGGATGTTATTGTTGCAGCAATTCAAACTCTGGTTTACAAGATTTTGTATAGATTTTCGCACTATTTTTCTTTGCGATGAGGTCTCTTGGAAGCCCGAATTTGATGTTATAAAAGCTATTCCGTTGGTCTTAGGCCCTGTTTCGTTCAACTTATTTTTTCTTATTCTTATTAAAATCAAATCAGATCAGACCATATCAGATCGAATCAGATCAGATTGAATCAGATCAGATCGGACCAGATCAGATCGAATCAGATCTAATCAGATCCAATCAGATCAGATCCAATCAGATCAGACCAGATCAGATCCCATCAAGAATTATTATTATTATTATTCTTAAAAATAAAACAGAATAAGCTTTAGAAATAAGTTAAATAGAAAACTGTGAAAGTAATTCTTAATTATTAGACGTCGGAAAAATTATTATTAAAATACATTGAAATTGTCAATCTAATTTTTACTTTTCAAATACATTTTTATTGCTACCTGTAATTTGAGCTTCTAAAGTTTTGATCTTTTAAAAGGATAAGATATTTTAATAAAAATACTATCTCTTCTATATATTGATTATCTAAATTTAATTACTTTTTAATGTATATATAAATTAAATATTTATTCTAATGTATATATGAAGTAATTATTAAAATATTAAATTAATATTCTAATTTCACAAAACAAATAATCATAAAATAAAAAATATTATTACATTATAATATTAATGATTATTCTAATATATGAATTAACTAATTTTATCTTATTAAAAAATATTCATAAAATAAAAAATATTGATTATATTAAAATATGAATTATCATTACTCAAACGTTATTATAAAGTCAAATCAAATTATTGATTTGAATTTTAAATCAAATCATAATTAATCAGATCAGACCAGATCAGATCAGATCCAATCAGATTAGACCAGATCAGATCAGATCCAATCAGATTATACCAGATCATATCAGATCCAATCAGATCAGATCAGATCTAATCAGATCAGATCAGAACAGAACTTACTAAAATCAGATCAGATCAGAAAAAATAAGTTGAACGAAACGGAGCCTTAGTCTATTGGTTTAATCTGATCTTTTCAAATCAAATTAGATGTTTTTTAATCATTACTTATGTTTAATTTTGTATTGCATATTAATACAATGAAATAAAATTAAAAACTACTCAAAATAAGAATAAAATATAGAAAAATATTAAACCATGACTTTCATGTTTTAATCTGAAATAGAAATTTACATTGTGACAATATAATCTAACAGTGTTTATTGGCATTCTATACTATTTCTTGATATTATATGTTTACATTATTGCCATTACATATTGGAGTATTTCGTACGTATTGTACTCCTTTCGGCCTTAATTTTTTTTTCATGTTTTGATTTTTTTAGACAAATAGTGTAACTCTTTAACCACAAATTAAGCATAATCTAAATAAATAAAAAAAATTCCCTGGATAGGACTAAAAAGTATGAAAATGCCAAAATAATAGTCCTAAGTCTTTTAAGATCAAAATAGGAGTAAAAGGGCAGTGTAGTGTAGGAGTGTGCGTTGACAGTATGATGGAAAAGTGATGACAGTGTATATATTAGTCTGATCAGTCAATCATTGGGGGTCCGCGATGGCATTTTGGTGGCCGGCGGCGATAGATGACAGTGTGGCGGTGATAATGTGGCAATTACAATGTGACAATGTGATTAGTGCATTATAAAATGGCAGTGTAAACTGTTATTTAGGTCTTAAAAAACTTCAGGGGCGAGTTGTTTTGGAGTGTGAAAAGTATAACCTTTTCTAGATCGATCGATCAAAAAGGAAAATGTAGACCTTTTAAA